GAGAGAGAGAGAGAGAGAAGTAATCACTTGAAACTTCTCCTTGTATAGTGAGGCAGCAGCTGCATGTGCAAGCAATGCATTGTGACCAGCAATATATGGCTCTGTAGTTGAGTCACCAGCCGTACAATTTACAAAGCCAAAGGGTTGAGAGCATCGTTGTGGAGGAAGAGTTCCGTAGTCGTAGCCAGTAGGTATGAGCACATTGGGCTCATTGAGAGTTGACCAATACTTCACTCGGTCTCCAAACCCTCTAAAACACACCTCTGCAAAAGCTTTGAAATCATCCCTGTATGGAAATCACCTTAGGAATAGTGCTTCAAATTCTTGACCAGAAATGACCTTAGCGATGTATTCAAAGGACTTTCTTTGGGTTAGTCTGGCTAGGATTAAAAATCTTTCAAATAAACATAAGGAGTGTGAAGTTTAGAATTTTACACTATCTTTGGGCTTAGCCATCCTTTGTACTCTTCCTCGAGTGCAAGGGGAAGATCATAATGGAAAAGAGTAACGTGCGGCTGAATTCCTGTTTAGACAAAAATCCTCAGTATTAATAGGATTTGTGGAATTCATTAAAATCAAATTTAAAAAGGCATCACATGAGAAATACAGACCATTTATTTCTAGAGAATGCATCAGCAACTTTGAAGATCTAGGAATGTGCAAGCTATTAATCTTTGGCGCCTTTTAAATCTTTCAGATATTCAAATACTTGTATCCCATATTTGTCCAAACGTTTTCACTCTTTTATTATTATGTTCTTAATGCACTTGCCTATAATTTTGCTTCATGTTGTTTGGTTTGATTGTTATAAGTTTTAACAAAATGCCATCAACTGAAATATGAATAGTATATGCTAAGTATCATGTACCATGGCTGATGAGATCATTGATGAGATTATTGTAATACTCCAGGCCCTTTGGATTAACTGCTCCCCTTCCATCTGTAACAGAAAGCCAGGATAACTATGGACATGAGGTCACCAAGGGATTGAATTATGAGGATATTGTTGGCCAAGAGCCAATTGAAAGAGCTTATTACCTGGGATAAGCCTAGACCATGAGATGGAGAACCTGTAGGCATCTAGACCTGTTTCTTGCATGAGTTTTACATCTTCCTGAACATTCATAGATAAAAAGCTGAGAGTTCCACATTAAGGTAAATGCAAAGAAACACCCCCACCTCACCCTCTCCCCCCCCCTCCCCCCCAAAAAAAAAGAAAAAGAAAAGGGAATGCAAGGAATTAGTCACTGGGCACCAAATGCATTATAAATTACAAATACAGATATAGACAATTAGGCATCTAACGGATAGAGCACATGAGCATGTACAATGTACCTCTCTGCTGGAGCACATTGTACTGTACACTGCACCAATAGCAAAATAGTTGCTTAAAAGGATTTTTCCTGATGCTCTCAATAGAAATGAAACTTGGGACTTTGTTCGAAAATCAAAAGGGGTGGAACCCGTTTCTTGTAAATGGGTATTTAAGGTGGGTGTGACCATTGAAAGGCAGAAAGCCCCACTAGCTGCACATGGTTTAGATTAAAAAAGGAATGGATTTTGAAGAAACCTATAGTCCTGCTGCAAAAATGACTTCAGCTCGCATCATCTCATTACTTGCTAGTATGGGCTGGAGGATGTGGCAAGTTGATGTAAAGAATACATTCTTTTATGGAAAGATTGATCAAGAAATCCATATGGAGTAGCCACCCGGATTTGTTTTTGAGAAGTTCCAGGACGACATGTGCTGCCTAAGGAAGGCTTTATATGGCCAAAAGCAAGCCCTGTGGGCTTGATATGGTAAGATTTCCTAATACCTTTTATTTTGCGGTTATATTCTCTCAAATTCGGATTGTAGTTTATTTACCAAAAGACAATGGAGATTTATTTTGCATTATATTACTATAGATTGATAATATGATTCTAACCAGGAACAATGAAGTTGAAATTGGAAGACTGAAAGAGGGGTTGGCCATTTGATTTGAAATGAAGAACTTGAGAGTGAGCTAAGTCACTTTCTTGGCTTCGAGGTTGAAAAGTGTGATAAAGGAATATTTATTTCTCAAAACAATATGCAAGAAAATTGGTCACTAAGTTTGGAATGAGGGCGAGTAAGCCTATTTCAACTCCTATTGATCCAAATTTGAAGTTGAAGGGAGATGAAGGCAAAGAGTTAAAAGAAGTTAGTTGTTGTCTTTTGTACTTAATTATCACTAGACTAGATTTATGTTATATGGTTAGTGTTGTTAGTCAATTTATGTAAATTCCTAGAGAGCCACATCTTGATGCATATAAAAGAATTTTGAACCATGTGATTCAATTGTATGAGCATAATGGAAAATTTTGGCATGGTGGTTTTACTTATGTGGATTGGGGAGGCAATCTAGACATGCGATATTCTACTTCAGGTTTTTGTTTTAACACTGGTTAAGCCGTTATAGTGGTGTGATAAGAAGCAATCAGGAGTGGCTCTTTCATCCATCGAGGATGAATGTAAGGCAGCTACTCTAGCTGCACAAGAATGCTCATGGTTGAAGAGGGTTCGTGGAGATATCTTCAAGGAAGATCAAAATCCAGTTCTTATATTTTGTGACAATGAAAGTACCATCAAGTTAGCATCTAATCCACTATTTCATACTCAACCAAGCATATAGAAATTCAACATTATTTTGTTTGAGAGGAGGTGTGATCAAGCTGAGAAGGATTGGTACCCATGACCAAGTACCACACTTCTTTATAAAGGCGTTGCCAAAAGTCAAGAAGCCTTCCAATCAAGTCTTGGATTGTTTGATCTCAAGCACACCCAAAGATTAGGATGTGCTTGAATAAATTTTGTAATTTTCGCTATTGTAGAGATTAGAGCTGGCAACAAACTGGGTGGCTTTGGCCCGACCCTGGCCCTTGTCCCTAGAGGGCCAACCCTAGCCCGACTAGGACTGAATCAGGCTGAAGGGACCTTGGGCCAAGCCTTGGCCCTATCCAGGTTGGGCAGAGCCAGAGCCAGAGCCAGAGCCAGAGCCAGGGCCAGGGCTGGAGCAGAGTGGAGCGGGTCTAATTTAAAAAAATAAAAGAAAAAGAAAATAGGGTCGAACAGATTTGGCCCTGTCATGGTGCAAGCCCAGGCCCCAACCTTGGGCCACATTGTGGGCCAGGCCTTACTTTTTCAGGGCCAAGTCGACCGCTTGGCCCTGCCCATTGCCAGTCCCATAGATTTGATGGGTAAAATATACATAAATGATTAGGGTTGTTTAGTCATAGTGATAAAAGTCATTAATTATGTACAAGAACTAGTGTGGATTTTTTGAGAATAAGTGATGCCAATTAAGTGTTAATATCTAGTAAATTTGTTCACTATTCCTTGGGCCCAAGAAAAGGGAATATAACTCATTAGAATGTGCTAGATTTGTTCTAGAAGTCACACTATGGTCATATATACATGTGTGCTGTAAACTTTGATGTGTAAGACAGTAGAAAAGAATAAATTATAGTTGATTTGCCTACACTTTTGGTTATTATATAGAGTTTTTAATTTCTTGACTTCATATTTTTCTTTTTTAATTTTTCTTTACACCTAGCTCTTTCTTTGATACTTTTCTAAAAGTGATTTGCAAGAACTTAATTATGACTTAGAATAAACATACCTTGTATTTGTGGTATTCATCAGCGGCTACATCTCCAGTGCTCTTGTCTGGCATTTTCCCTGAAAGAAAAATTATTTTAATAAAAATTGCTTTCCTTCATATCTATCAAAAAATAATCAGATTTAAATTTACAATTGATAAATATAAATAGATATAGATTGGAAAAAAAAAAAAAAAAACAACGCACAAATCTTGCTAGATGACCTATTTTTTGCTCAGCATTTTTTAGGCTCTTCTAGTGGACTTCTTTCTCAAATGCAGTGCATAGGCTCCATAGACAATCATCCACCATCCATTCTCGTAAATGGATGACCGAGATGACGTGGAAGGATTGAGAGGGGAGCAATGTCTCATCTCCATCGTCTGCTGATGAAGATGGACGGTGGATCAATACTCTCATTTAAATAATATTCAACATTTAATGTATACAGTATAGGCAAAATTTATTGTAATTCCCCCGAGTGCATGAGTCCACCGTGGTTTTCCATGGATTTAAACCATCCTAATTCACTGGAAACACATTTTCCACCTTAGATCCATCTTTTTCTACCAAAAAAGTTATGCAGATCTGATGATATGCAAAGAACTAAAATGAATACCGACAAAAGAAAAGTTCAAAATAGACTACTTTCACAATGTGTTTTTAATTTTATTTTATTTTCTGGATATGCGATTGTGATCACAATGCGTTTTTTTTTTTTACTTTCTGGATATACGATTGTGATGATTGAGATTATCGACTTATGAAAATTTGGATCCAATATTCACCTCTAAGATTTGAGGGACCGCATATGAAGAGGTGCGTTGAACAACATTTAGAGTTCAAGAAAATATACAAAGGCTGTCAAAATCGCATGACAATTTCCTAACGGGTTCGGTTTGTATGGGTCAATATATATGTTTTTTTGACAAATATGAATAACCTTTATTACTAATTACCTAAACAAGATTATATCATCTGAAATCAAGAGAGAAGGAAGAGAAGAACCAAATTTAGCTGAAGAGTCAGTAAGAAAATTGGCCTCCCTATAGACGTGATAAAAGGATATCGACAAAATAGAAGCAATATTCGTGAACATATCGGTACTAGCTTTCAAGGAATTTGCAACTTCTTCTTACACCATTGAATGACATTCAAAGAGTCTCCCTCCACTAGTCAACAAAAGCCCAAGTTTTTGCTTTGTAGAATCTTGAAACCTTGTAGGAGGGCAAGTAATTGAGCATTATTTGATGTGGTTTCCCCTACTGGCCTTGCGAAACTAAAAAAGGCATTTCTAGAGCAATCCCGCCCAACTCCCCCAATGCCTGTAGGGATTGGGTTCCCCAGCGAACAACTATCAAAGTTCATTTTCAAAATCCCCTGTAGAGGAGGGGTCCAAAAGCTCACCGGCCTACTTTTCACCACTCCCATCATCATAAGATTTGGAATGTTAGTGATAACATCAACCTTCAAAATGCCTCTCTCTTCCTTGGAAACACCAAGAATAGACCATAAAGAATGAAAGATTTTATCTAGAATTTTCTCAACAAGAAGGCAGACTCCGTCAGAAGTACGTCTATTCCTTTCCTTCCAGATATTCCAAGGAATTAAGCTATGCAGAATCTTCCAAATTACAGACCCGCATACTCTTGGGGCATTGTCAGCTGAAAGCCCAAAAGCGAAAAGAAATGACCCCATATCCTTGATATAAAGGAGGAATGAACATCCTCCTTTACACATAAGATTATCAACAATAAGTATTCTATTTCGGGCTGTCAGCCATATAAAAATTTGGATTTTGTGAGGAATGAGCCATTTCCATGGAACATCAGGTTACCAATGCCATCATCATGGAATATCAGGCAGTAACAAGATTTTATTGGAAATGGTCCATCGCATTCTACATCCCAGATAAGATTAACTTCCACATTTGGAGGGATATAGACCTTATCCATAATTTCCATAAGAGATTAAAATTGGTCAAAGACCTCCCCACTAATCATATTAAACCGCAGGGTCACATTCCAGGTAGCATTATCTCCTCGCCCCTCAACAATATCTGCCACCTAAGCATCTTGATCCACCACTCTATTGAAGACATCTGGGAAACTCAATTTTACAGGATAGTCTCCCACCCAAGTATGATGCCAAAATGATATATGTTCCCCATTGCTAATATTCCACTGAAAATTCCTCGCTATGAATGGCTTACAAAAGGCAATAGCCTTCTATACAAGTGAAGCATTAGCACCTCTATTATTACCAATCCACATGCCATGTCTATCCAAACCATATTTGGTTTCCAAAACTTAATATCATAGATGATCCTTAAAAGTGAAGCTACACCACCACTATTTACAAAGTAAGGCATGGTTAATCAATTTTATCCTCCTCATACCCAAACGCACCTCATTCTTTGGAGTACAAACCCAATCCCATTTTAACAAATGGAATTTCCTTGCCTCTTTTGACGATCCCCACAAAAAATCCCTCATCGTCTTTTCAATCTTTTTGCAACTGAGGTGGGAATTTGACATATTGACATCTGGTAGATAGGTAAGTTTGACAAGCAAGCTTGGAGTAAAGTAACTCTTCCATAGGACGAAAGATACTTATACTTCCAAAAGTCCAAGTTAACTTGAATGAGTTGAAGTACCCTATCCCACATCGAAATAGGGAAACTCCTATTTGAGATAGGCAATCCAAAATAGATGATAGGGAACGAATCAACCCTGCAGTTAAACACTTCGGCCAAATCCGAGAGTACCAATTCATCATAGTTGATATCAATCATTGATGTTCTTTCCAAAATTTAGCTTTAGTCCCATAGCCATCTCACAACATCTTAAAAAAGTAGTTATATTTTTTATTTGCTCCAACTCAGCCCTATGGATAATCAACGTATCGTTCGCATATTAAATATGCAAGATACTAAGTTCACTGCTAGCAATCTGAAAGCCAGTGAAATTGTCTCTACTGGTCGCATTCCTTATCATAAGGCTAAAAAACTCTACATAAATGGTAAATAAAAAGGGTGAGAGAGGATCACCTTGCCTTAAACCCCTCGATGCTCTAAAAAATATTGTTGGGCTACCTTTATACAAAATCGAAAAGTGGGCAGTCGACAAACACCCAAAGATCCAATTTTGCTATCTAGCCCCAAAACCCATTCTTCTCATAATTTCAAGTAGCACCCCCTCACTCAACTCTACCGCAAACCTTTTCCATGTACAATTCCAAGACAATCCCAGAATCTGACTTAAACACCTGGAGTGGATATATTATTGGGCCACAATAACGCTATCGATGATTAATCTATCCTGAATAAATGCAAATTGGGGGCCCAAGAGCACTTGAGGAAGCACATATTTCAACCTTTATGCCAAAAGTTTAGCCACAATTTTGTAAAGTCTTGTAAGCAGACTAATAGGTCGAATATCTAATAATTCCACAATAACATATTTTTTGGGGATAAGAGCTATATAAGTGGAATTCACCCCTTTTAAAGAATTCCTCTCGAATAAAAAATCCTCTAACCATCTCAAGCAGCTCCCCTTTGATGAGGTTCCAAAACTTCGAAAAAAAGATTAACGGGAAACCATCCAAGCGTGCGGATTTGTCCCCTAGCAAGGCAAATACCGCTTCTTTTAGCTCCTCCATCGAGACCTCCCTCTCAAGCAGCGTTTAAAAAATCGCCGAGTCGAACCGGACTCGCCCGGTTCGACTCGGAATTCACGAAAAAGGTATCGGATCGGTTCAAAAACCGGGAATCGTCCGGTTCTAGAGAGAACCGGACGATTCCGTACAGTGACTCGCCGATTCACTGTGCGGAATCGGCGAGTCCGTGAAGAACACGGGTTGCACAGTGTTCTTCACGGATTTTTTCAAATTTGTCATTTTTTGATCATTTTTTTTGTTG